TCATTATTTTCACAATGTCTTTAAAACAAAAGAAATGATGGATAAACAAAACATGAGTTATGTTTCAAGAGAACGAGAGACAGAAGAAGTTATGAAAAGACAACAACAAGAAATAGAAGAAAAAGAGAAACTTCTTAAACAACAAGAACAAGCATTTGAAGAAGAGAAAAGAGCTATGAATTGTAATCTCCAAGAGCAGATGGAACAACAGAAAATAGAACATCAAAGGGAATTAGAAAGGATGAAACAAGAGCAAGAAAATATGAGATTAGAACAAGAACAATTAAGACAAGCACAACTAAAAGAATTGGAAGAACAAAAACAACAAATGATGAAAGAACAACAACAAATGAAAGAACAACAAGAACAAGAGAAATTAAGAATGCAACAAGAATTAGAACACAATCAAAAAATGATGGAGGAACAAAAACGAAGAATGATGGAAGAACAAGCAAGAATCAAACAAGAAAGTCAATGTCCACCAATGCAAGGATTTCCACAACAACCACCAATGCAAGGATTTCCACAACAACCACCAATGCAAGGATTTCCACAAGAAAATCAATATCCACCAATACATGAAAATCCACCACAAGCACCAATTGGACAAGGAAATGTTTGTTATGTAGAATTTGGAGGACCTGTTCCACCACAAGCACCTATGGGAATAGGAAACAATGGATATATGGGATTTGGAGCAGTCGAACCAATGGGAGGAAATATTTATCCACCTGGACATCCATTATATGGAGTTAACACAACAACAAGTTATCCATATTACTAATTGAATCATGAAAAGGAAAAGATTTTGATTAGATTTTTACAAAATAAAATGATAAGATGATAAATTCATAACATAACTCTTAGTTAAAACAATGAAAAGAAAATATATCACCACAATTCTTTCATACCTTCCAATTGAAGAAATAAAAAAAGGAGAATTAATTAATTCTAAATGGTCTAAGATAATTTCTTTAATGAATAAATATTATAGTCTCACTGGAAACCAATGGAATAAACAATCATTAGAATTTAAATACCTTGATTGTTTGACTTTAGTTAAAAATAGAGAACCACTTATTTCTCTTCCAAATTGTCATATCTCTAATTTCCATTTTTATGCACTTTCTCTTTATGGGATTAATGAACTTCAATGTATTGTTTGTCCAGAAAATATCATTCATTTAGAATTATATTTTATAGACTCTCTTGGACCTATTTGGTTAGGTCAGTTAAAGGCTTTTGTTAATCTCAAATATTTGAAGATAATATCATTCATGTATGAAATGGATTGTTCAAATATT